TCCCTGCGCGGTGGGGCTGATTCCGGACTCTCTTCATTTCCTTTGGCCAGCCCCGTTGTCCTGCTCCAGGACCGCTTACTAAGGAAGCTCTGCCCGGTGGGCAAAGGCATGGCCTTGCTCTCCTTTTAGAGGTTTTTTTTTTTTTTCTGTCTACTTTTGATTGATTATCTTCCCAAATGAATTGTACAACCAACTTGTCAGCTCCAGGAAAAAAGAAACACGAACAAAGCAAACAAAGAGCCCAAACCATAGTGAAACATCCCTGGCGGAGTTTTCATTGTGCTGGTAAAGCTGCTCGGGAAGGAGCCACAGGCCGATGAGGTCCCCCAACCTGGCCTGCCTTCCACTTGCTCAGCCCACTCTTGAGTCTTTCCGGAGAGAATGACAGCCTCCCTCACTCCCCTGTGCTTACTTTGATTCCATCAAATCCAGATGCAAAACCAGGTCACCTGCAAGCAGAGGTGGTTTTAAACCTTTCGTTGCCATCTTTCGGCCTCTTGACTCAGGCGCTGTGTTTGCTGCTGGGATGGGGCTGCATGGGCGCCCACTGCATTCTCACCCTGTCTCCTCGTCCACATTCCTCGCCCATGAGGGGGCGGTCGCCGTGGGCACGACATGAGAAGATGAATATGAACCGCCCCCGATCGAGGGCCCGTCTGTGGATGCGGGGTCCTGTGGGCTAGGTCCTGCCTGCAGTTGGCTCGCCCAGCATCCTGCTGGGGGCCCTGGGGCAGGAACATGGCCAGACCTGTTCCTTCTGCCTGGGAAGGAAGCCCCCCTGGACGGCACGGGGACCCTTCGGCTTCAAATAATTAATGAAATATTCACTACTCTATGCCAGTCCTGCTGAAACATCTGGGAACGAGGCAGACAAAATCCGGGTCCATGGGGCTGCTGGAAGAGGCAGGCAGAGGCAGACAAGTCAGCAAACTGGGTGCGGGCCGAGAGGTGGGGCGGAGGGGCGTCAAAGCACCCAGAGGTCGGCACACCCCCACCTCCCGCACACGCCCGCCCATCCTGGGAGATGCCGACCCCAGCCCTCCCTGGCGAGGGGCAGCCCCGCGTGGGGTCTGGACATGGGTCCACGTGTCAGGGAAGCCAGGCGCCCTGCGGAGGGCGGTGCCACGGAGCCGCGCTCCTGCTCTCTCTCCACCCGTGCCGGCCTGTCCCCCCAGCTTCTAGAAGCTCCCCAGGTGGAAGCAGGAGGCACCTTCCCCATAGTGTTTGCGGCTTGAAGTATCTGTTGCCAGGCATTTGCTTTCTGGGGAACAAAAACTACTTGGAAAGGAAAAGAGCTTGGGGTGAATCACTAAATCTGCAACACACACCAACAGCATTGAATTAAGATGGCCGCTACCCGGCCGTCACCCACCACCGCTCCTGGGCTGTCGCTGGGCGCTACGCATGGAACCCCAGCCGCCCGGGTGCCCCGGTCAGCAGAGCTCATTCCTCTTGGCGCTTCAGTCCGGTTCCATCCTGCCTGTCTGCTCCAGTCCTCGACTGGAGGAAGCAGCTCAGAGAGCCCAGACCAGGCCCTTGGAGGAGATGGTTGAATGGGGCAGCGGGCTCCCAGCCTCGGAGGCCGGAGCACTTCCCCTCTCGTCCTGTGAATGCCGCCTGAGCAGGGACCACGGGGACAGTGGGAATGGCGGGGGTGGCGCCCAAGCCCAGCGCCGCAGATCCTGCTGTCCCGTCAGGGGCCGAAGCAGAGCCCCAGGTCTCCACCGCCAAAACCCGGGCTGCTGCCGCCCCCCTTCCGGCCGGCGGCCTCGGCACGCAGCTGTCCCTACCCCTCCAGCGCGGCCTTCCCTCCCACCAGGCAGGCAGGTGATGCTGAGGCTGAGACCTACCTAATAGGGGTGGCCAGGGGCTGGACCCGCAAACCCCGAGCCGTGGAGAGCCCCCTCCCATCATCAGACGGCTGGCTAGCAGTACCTCCTGGCACTTGGGACAACTTCCTCTTTCAGAATTTCACCGAGTCCTGGAGGGCAGCTCTCAGTCGCTCCACGGCTGGGGCCTTGGTTTCCCCCGTGTTGAAGGTGCCCCGCCTCGCTGGACCCACGTCCCACCCAGAAGTCGGCGCTCTCCTCCCCAAGGGCAGTGTCCACTGGAAACAGGGCTGGCTTTGCTCTTGCGTCCGTCCGTCTGTCTGTCTGTGTGGCGGGAGCTGACAGTCGTCAGCAGCAGGACCGACCACACCCTGGGATGTGGTGTGAGCGCCGGGCTCCTGGGGCCTTGTTCCCGCAGTTCAGCGGGACCTCACCAGTGTTCCTGGCTGTCACGTGCCGGATGGGCCCGTGGTAACCCGCATGTGCACAGTCCATGACCGCAACACCGGGTCAGCCAGGTCTCCCAAAAGTGGGAGGGGGTGGCCGGCCTTCAGCTCCCCGGGCTGCCAGCCTCGCGGGGAGCCACCAAATGTGCCTCGTTCGGCAGACGTGGAGGCGGTTCTGAAGCTCTGGGCTTCTCCTCCCATGACCTCGGCCAGGAGTCCCGGTGGGGGTGCAGTCTGTCTGCCACTTTGGGCCCCTTGGGTGTGCAGCTGACGGAGGGAGCCCTCCAGCCATGCCCCGCTCTGCACAGGCTCAGAAATCCTGAGGAAGAGCGTCGAGAGCCAGGGTGACAAGCAGGTGACTGGGCTTTATGGCTGTGATCGCAGCTGATCACACACATTCACATACCTACCGGGAAACCCTGGTCTCTGCTGCTCCTTTTTGTCAGTCTGCGTCCCTGGGAACGGCCCCAGATTGGAGGTCGGGCTCATGGAGATGGGGACGCAGCACAGCCCATTGAGCCCGGCGGTCCAAGGCCCGTTGGGAGAGCGCTTGGGCTGTCCCTCCTGCAGATGACTTTTGGGCCATTTCGCTGAAATGAGGAAGGTTCTAGAAAGCACATCGTTCTCACACTGGTGGCCTCATGCGTGGGAGGGGCTTCGCCTCCGCCCAGTCTCTGTCCAGCAAGGCCCGGAACCCTGTGCGACAGACAGGTTGCCCGTCTCCACCCAGCAGCCCCGACAGCTGGGAAAGAGAGCAGACGTGGACCACGCTGTCCAGTGACACCGGCCACCCTTCTCCGTCCCTCAGGGCTCCCAGGGTGGCGGGCGGCCTGCCATCTTGGCTTCCTGGGGCCACCGTGACAAAAGACCACACAGCGGGGCCCCTCCCTCTGGTCATCACATTTCCTCTTGCCGTGGGAAGACGGGAACTGCTCCCAGCCTTTATCCACATGGGAAGCCTTGGCGGCACGGATGGGGCAGGATGTTGGCTGTGGCCCCCCTTCCCTGCCCCACTCTGCCCACCCTCAGTGCCGGGGCTTCGATGTGTCTGTCCCCCACTGTGGTCCAGGCACAGCAGCAAGGACGGGCTTAACATGGGGCATCCAGACCAGGTGGGGGGGGCTTTGGAAGACCAAAGCAACGCAGGTCTGAGGCTGGCCCCCAGATCCCTGGGCTGCTAGCTTTCTGGCAGTCAGCCCAGCTAGAGGCAGTTTTAGGCAGAGCTTTGCGGGGGGCTTGGTGGCCTGCACAGGTCCCCGGGTGGGTTTGAGGTGGGAGCTGAGCAGGCTCAGAGGTCCGTGTAGCTCAGCATGGCAGGATGCTCCTCCGTGCCCGTGGGTGTCACCCCGGCAAGCTTTGCCTCCCTGGGGGCTGGCAGGGTGGTGCGCGGCGTTACCTTGGAAACTGCATCTGCAGCTCACGAAGGTCCTGTACTGGATGATGTGGGCGCATTCAGCGCTCGGGCTAAGGCTGCTCAGTTGTTGCGTCCAGCACCCCAAAACCAGCGGTCACCCGCCGCCTGCCCACCAGATACCCTCACAGTAACAGTGCAGAAGCCAGAGCGGCGGGAGAGGGGTGCTTGCCCCGGACTCCATTCCCATCTCTGCCCGTGTCCAGTACATCACATCCACGTCGTGCGTTAAATGCCGTAGGCTTAGGTTTTTTGCTTGGCATTATAAAAATAGTCACATGTCATTAAGTCTTTATAAAAATTGTTTCAGCGGCTGCGTGGTGTTTCACAGAGCTCACTTGCCCGTGTCCATAAGGTCGTTGGAAGTCAAGGTTGCTTGAAAGTCTGTTATTAGCAGTTCGTTCAACTATCATGAACATCTTCTGAAAAAAGCACCTTCATTTCTTAGGACGCGTTCCCAGTGGGGGAATGTGGGCTTCCCCCACACGGGCTGGATCCCAGGGGTTTGGCCTGAGACTCTGATGCTCACTGACGCTTCTGGTCAGGGCCAGGCCACCTGCCTTTGGGTGAGGCGCCGGGGACAGCCTCCCACCCACCTCGAGTTCTAGAATCTTCCACTTCCTCCCATTCTTTCCCACCCCCCACCCCACCCCTGGCTCCTGCGGCTTGGAGACCTGAAGCCTGAAGGCGAGGGGACCCTCACATGTAGCTTTGGTTATCTGTCCTTGAGTGGTCTCTCTACGACCTGAATGGGGGCCATGGCATTGCCCACCCCATCCCACGATTTTGTGCATTAGCCCCCTTCCTTCTGGAGACCTTCGTCCCTGGCTCTGACTGATGCCCCTTGGCCACTGGGGCTTGCCCCAGCCAACTCTGTGCTTCTTGTGTCTCTCCGTCCCAAACGTGTAAGCACCGCCAACAGTGCTGACTTTGCGGTTTCGAGCCCCAGGGGATTGGCATTTAAGAGCCTTGCAAGGACCCTGTCGTCACAGGAGAGTCCCTGTTGCGATGGGGATGGTGGCAGAGGGTTGATGAGGACAGCAGCTCTCGCACATGGGGCCTTCCCGGTGCAGGGCTCTGGCTGAGGGGGTCTTCCTCGACCTCCCCCCACAGCCCTCCAAGTCAGTGGCTGCTCCGAGCCCCGGGAAGGGGTGCCAGGGCACCGCTGGGGAGGGGCTGGGGCCCCAGCGCTGTGCTCTTGGCTGGGTCCTGCCCCACCAAAGACATCCGGTCATTTCCGGGTCTCGTCTGCAGTGGGCAGGGTGGGGGGGTGAGGGTGGTGGCATCGACGTGGACATTCCGTCTGCCCTCCAGGTGTGCATTGTGCAGAAGCGGGACACAGAGAAGATGTACGCCATGAAGTACATGAACAAGCAGCAGTGCATCGAGCGGGATGAGGTGCGCAACGTGTTCCGGGAGCTGGAGATCCTGCAGGAGATCGAGCATGTCTTCCTGGTGAACCTGTGGTGGGTGATCAGCCACCACCCTCCCCTGCCCCAGGGCCCTTCCCCGGTGCTCCCTCCTCCCTTGCCTTGGGGACACCCTGACTCTCCATCCACTCAGCTTCTGGTTCCCTGGGGCCAGAGCTGTCCAGGTGTGCAGGGCGCACCGTGTTGACGCAGGTCTCCCCACCCACGGGAGGGCCAGGTTTTCCCACAAAGAGGCCTGTGGCCCATGGAGTTTCTGCCACTAAAGCCAGTGGGGAGAGTATTGGGGTCGAGTTCTTCCATAAAATGGGCACCCAGACCAGCTCCTGGAGGGGAAGGAGCCCTTAACTGCAATGAAATCACTGCCTCTTTCCTACGTGGGAGTCCTGCTGCGCGAGGGTCCTCCCTGACATGAGGTCCTCACTGAATCCTCCCTGACAGCCCCCATCCTGGGGTCTGTGCTCCCTGATGGGCTTATGGACTGGGTGGCTTTCCCGAGGGCCCTTGTGGGCATAGGTGCTCAAGCACCCGGGAAGGCATGCAGTGAATGGGTTCTGGTCCTGGTAGTGCCGCCTCAGGACAATTGAAACACCCCCCAGTATGAGCGGGGGTCTGTCAGCCAAACGTGGAGGGAGAGGCAGCCCCACCAGCATCTGGGGACAGAAAGGTGGGACAGGGCATTGTTGGGAGTGACCTGGTGCTAGCTCCTCCAGGGGACACACTCAGGGCTGAAGACCCCCCTTCGGTTATTCATCTGGGGCGACCACAGGTATAGGAGGTCCTTCAATGTGACCGGCAGCCCGCAGCCAGCTCCGCGAGTCAGAACCCGGGGTCCTGCCTGGTTGTAATACAGGAGGAGGAGCTGGCTGTGCCACGGGGGGCATGGCCTTGCCCGGGTGCTGAGCCAGGCCTGCAGGGCAGTGAGACCCGGGGCTGCCCAGGCCTCCTCCGGCTCCTCACCCCCGGATGCGGCCCCTGACCTCCCTCGCTGTGGCTCCACGGCCCTATGATTGTCTAGTCTCTGTGCGAGCAGAGGCGAGCAGGGCCACACCACATCATTGTGCTCCATCGTGGCGTCTTCAGCATCCTGGGACAGTGGTTCTAAAGCTGGAGGCATCCAAGCACCCCTTAAACCTGCCCTCTCTGCCTGATGGCCAGGGAGAGTCAGAGCCCTCGTCCTCAGAGATGGTGACTGCTCTGCTGGGGTGGTAGTTCAGTGCGGTGCAAACGACCCGCTTGCAGCCTCACGGGAACAGGCTGCTCTCTGTGGTTGACCCTCAACCATGACACGGCCTGGAGCTTGTCAAAAAGGAAGACCTGGGATTTCCCAACATTGGGGTCTTAGCTTCCCTCCCAGGCCATCTGGGCCTCTCTTGGGGAGGCAGGGTGCCTAGTGGCCAGGACATGGGCTCCTGGGTTGAAGTCGTCCACCCTGCCTCAGAGTCACCTCTTCAGTGGAAGAGAGGTCAGAGTGGTCCCCAGGCCAGAACAGGAGATGCATCTATACAGGCAAAGTGCTCCACATAGGGTGAGGCCGGATGGGAGCCATCATTATAGGTACTGTGCCCCTCCTGTGCTGCTGCAGCCAGGACCCCATCTGCCCAGGCTGGCCTGCCTCCCACCATCCCAGGGCCGCGCAGCACAGGGCCGCTGCAGCTTCACCTCGGTGTGGGAGGCCATGTGCTCTCGTCCACTGCTCCCCAGGACTCATGACCTGTCCTGGAGCCTGGCATTCCAAGTCCCTTTGCTCTCTGGTCCCATATCCCCCTCCCCAGGCCCCCTGTCCCTGAGATGAGGGCAGGGTGGCTTCTGGTGGGCAGGCAGAAGAATAGCACATAAAAAAGTCAATTCTTTGTAATGTTATTCTGAAAGAGCCAGTTGCTTAACAATAAGAGTTCTCTCTGAGAGCTCACAAAAGAAATTACAAAGCGGAAGGAGACCCTTAAACTGTTGTTTTGTTATTGCCATCATCATCACCATTATCATCACCATCACCTCCATCATCATCACCATCATCACCACCATCACCTCCATCATCATCACCATCCTCACCATCATCACCATCACCACCATCACCTCCATCACCACCATCACCGTCATCATCATCACCTCCATCACCACCACCACCATCATCACCATCACCACCACCATCATCACCATCATCACCACCATCACCTCCATCATCATCATCAACATCACCATCACCATCATCACCATCACCATCATCACCATCACCATTATCATCACCATCATCACCATCACCACCACCATCATCACCATCATCATCATCACCACCATCACCTCCATCATCATCATCACCATCACCACCACCATCATCACCATCCTCACCATCATCATCACCATCATCAACCTCACCTCCATCACCACCAGTCATTACCATCACCATCACTTCCATCACCACATCATAACCATCATCACCATCACCATCACCACCATTGTTAGAAGCTGGCCCCTTGTGCAGCACTGCCTGAGCATTTTGCCTTGTGGTCTCCATTCTTTAACAACCCTCCAAGGCAGATGTTTTTATCCCCTTTTTAGAGAAGAGGAGCAGCAGGGAAATGGCCAAAAATGATGCTGTGTTTTGCACACAGCAAAGGATGCACACAGGATGAGGCTGCCCCCCCGCCATGGGTGCTCAGGGACAGCCGCACGCTCCATGGATGCGCGCTTTCAGGGAAGCGTCTGCGTGGAGAGAGACTGTCTGAGCAGGTGCAGGAGGGAAGCCCCTGAGGGTCCCTTGGGGCCGTGGGCAGGCCAGAAACCTGGTCACTCCCAGCATCTCTATCCCCCACTGGGCTGCCTCCCATCAGGATAGGCTGCTCTGCCCTTCCTGAGGGTCCTGGCTCAGAGCAGCTCCTGAGCATGGGCAGAGTCAGTGCCTTGGGCAGGGCCCTGCTCCTGGGGAGTGCCCGTGGGAGGTTGGGGGTACCCAAGCCCTTAGACGGTTCATCAGGTGTGGCAGGAGCTGTGACCTCGGTTCCCCTGTCATGCGTGTGCCACGTTCTCCCCCGGTGCCCTCAGGTACTCCTTCCAGGACGAGGAGGACATGTTCATGGTGGTGGACCTGCTTCTGGGTGGAGACCTGCGCTACCACCTGCAGCAGAACGTCCAGTTCTCCGAGGACACGGTGAGGCTATACATCTGCGAGATGGCGCTGGCCCTCGACTACCTGCGCAGTCAGCACATTATCCACAGGTGTGTGCACACCTGACAGGGTGGGTCGCCTGCCTAGGCCAGTCCACCCGCAGGGTGGCTACACCACAGCAGAACTCGGACAGGCTCCTGCATGATCTGCCCACCCCCTGGCCTACAGACCTGCCCTCAGGTGTAGCACCTGCGCCCATCAGCGCTTGGCTCCAAGGCCAGCCCCACAACTGTGCACCTGGTGCCCCCCTTGGGGTGGGTCCTGTGCGAGCAGCCCCCGGCTAGCCAGGATCGGTGTCCCCTTCACCTGGTCTGTCCAGCTGTGGGATCCTGGCTACCACCTAGCAGAGGCCATTTGCTCATCTGCCATGCCCCTGGGGACTGAAACAAATTTTAACATTAGCTGAAAGCAAGTTAGGAAGATAAAGCTGTACCTGGAGAACAAAACAAGCAAATGCATGTGGTGTATTATCCGGTCGGATAGGTGGGATCTCTGCATCTCTGCCCGGGGGATTCTGTTATCTGGTTACGATTCAGGCACGAAACATTGACTGAGCACCTAGAAGTCAGGGAAGGTGAGGCCTGAGGCCAGCCGGTGGAAGGCATAGACCCAGATCATCAGTTTGGTGCAGTCCCAGGGCTCTGTGAGACGGGCCAGCCTGGGGGTGTGGGTGAGGGGGCTCTGCATCTGTCCTCGGGGGCTCCAGCACCCCTGCGTCCAGTGCATTCTCCCGGGTCTGTCTGGCCTCAGCCAGTGGGGGGCTGGAGGTGTCCCCAGCCCCAGGACCAGAATAGCTAGTTTCACCTGGCTCCGTCAGAATGTTGCCAGGCGGCACCTTCTTAAGGCCCACTTGAGTCTCTGGGGCCTCTGCCTTGAGTGGGGAGGGGCCCTTGAGGGAACGCCCTGCCCTGCCAGGGACTGCGAGGCACGAACAGGGCTCCTGGACCATCTCCCCATTTCCTGCTCCCTCAACAGGGACGTCAAACCCGACAACATCCTGCTGGATGAGCAAGGTGAGCCGAGGCTGTGTGAGGCTGGACGTGGGGGGCGTGCGCCTCGCCCATGGGATGCATCTCCAGCCCTTGGGACACTTGCATTGTCTTCTCTGCTCGCAGGGCACGCGCATCTGACCGACTTCAACATCGCCACCATCATAAAGGACGGGGAGCGGGCCACTGCACTAGCTGGGACCAAGCCGTACATGGGTGAGCCGAGGCCACTGGCCCACTACTGGGCGTGCTGTGTCGGACCCAGGCCAGGGGGGAGGGGGCCTCATGTCACTTCCCTGAAGGCACAGGACGGTGTGGGACGGGAGCAGGCTGCTAAGCATAGCCCGTTTGATCCCACAGCCCACACCAGGGGGAGGAGGGGCCCCCAGGCAATTAGTGGGGGAGGGGGCCTGGGGCCTGTGGGTGCGGGATACTCAGCTGCCTCTCCCTTCCTGGAAAGCTCCGGAGATCTTCCAGTCCTTCGTCAGTGGTGGGAGCGGCTATTCCTTCGAGGTGGACTGGTGGTCAGTGGGGGTGCTGGCCTATGAGCTGCTACGTGGATGGGTAAGGAGCTGGCCCCGGACCCTGAGCTGGCTGTGTCCCCCAGGGGTGGCCCGAGTGCCCAGGGAAGGAAGAGGCTGCCCCCCCGCCATGGGTGCTCAGGGACAGCTGCACGCTCCATGGATGCACACTTTCAGTGAAGCGTCTGCGTGGAGAGAGACTGAGCAGGTGCAGGAGGGAAGCCCCCGAGGGTCCCCTGGGCCGTGGGCAGGCCAGAAACCTGTCAGCAGGTCGGCCTTCTTGGGACTCTCCTGTGGGAGTCATCCTGGTGGCCATCCCCTCATGGGGGCCTCTGAAGCCCAGCACCCTGAGCCACGCCGCCAGCCCCCACCCTGAGGAAGGCAGCCCCTCCTGGCCTCAGGGCCCACCCACCCAGGCCCAGACCTTCTTGGGGGTGACTTGCTTCCTTCCTGGCCCCAGGCTCCCCCTGGGAGCTGTGCCTGCTCTGGGCATGGGGGTGAGGCACCTGGTATAGTGCTGCCCCCCGCCCCCAGAGGCCCTACGACATCCACTCCAGCAATGCCGTGGAGTCCCTGGTGCAGCTGTTCAGCACGGCGAGTGTGCAGTACGTGCCCACCTGGTCCAAGGAGATGGTAGGCCTGCTGCGGAAGGTGAGCCCCTCCCGTCGGAGGAAGGCCGCGGGTCCTGCGGTCGTGGGTCTGCATTCCCCCCACCCAGCCCACAGCCCATCCAGCCTCAGGCTCTTTGCCATCTGGCGGTAGCTCGGCCGCTCGGAGCACTGGTTGTGAGCTGAAGCCCACGCACCCGTTGGCTCACCTAATCCCCATGATGATCACCCCATTTCACAGATGCCCAAACTGAGGCACAGGTCACCACGTCAGGCGTGTTGTGGGGAGGGCACGTGTGGGCTGGGAGCCTCCTCTACCCCGTCCGGTCAGAGATGAACTGGCCGCAGCTCCAGGAGCACCCAGAGAAGACCCTAGAGCCCCCTGCACCTCCCACGGCCTGAGGGTGTGGCTGGGGCAGCCCAGGGGACTGCAGCCTGGCAGGGACCGGGCCGGGTGTTGCTATCAGAGCGTCTCCACCTGGGGTGTGGGTCTGGGCTGGCCCCACCGCTCTCCACTCAGGGAGCCCCACTTGGAGCACACCTGTGCCTCCGGGCTCAGGACCGGGCGTGGGAGAGCTTGCTGGACACACAAGGCTCAGCTGGCTCTCGGCTCCTGGCCCACAGGGCCCTCCTCCGTGTGCCCTCACCCCTGCTGGAGACCTTCGCCCCTGGAATGATAGCCAAGCAGCCGGAGGCCTCTCCCGGGCCCCAGGGGGCTCTCCACCCAGTCTCCGCTGACAGTTCTGCCCACACCTGCCCAGGTGGTTCCTGCAGTGGGGCCTTGACCCCCAGAGACCCAAACAGGGAGCGGGGACCATCCATGCGCCAAGCCTCATGCCTTGGGGAAGCCTCAGATAGGATCTACCGCCTTTTCTCTAAGAGGAAGGACAGCATGTGGGGGGACACTCAGTCTCCGTGACACAGGGCGCCCTGGGGCTCCCTAGGGGCTGTGCCCAGGTCCTTGTGGCCCTCCCTGCAGCGAGGCCGGCTGAGGCTGCCGCCTGCTGGTGAATCACAGTAGAATGTCCCTGGGGACCCCACATGCCCTCTGCTGGCCTTGGGCTCCAGGGGCTTGGCCAGGTTGTCCCCTTGGCCACACTACTGCACTGACCTGAGGTGGGTGCCCCCTTTCCTTGCCTGACCCTTGAGATCCTTATAGTGAGACCTCCCTGGGGTACCCTGGCCCCAGGTCAGGCGGCCAGCTCTGTGCACCAGGATCGTGCTGGGCCTGGGCACCGTCTGATGTGGGCCCTGTTCCAGCTCCTCACTGTGGACCCCAAGCACCGAGTGTCCAGCCTGCAGGACATGCAGGCAGCCCCGTCACTGGCTGGCGTGCTGTGGCAGGACCTGAGTGAGAAGAAGGTGGCGCCGGGCTTCGTGCCCAATGTAAGCCTGGCAGGCGATGGGCAGCGGCTCCGGGCAGGCGTGGGCCCACCGGCAGACAGGGCTCAGCTTCCTGTCCCCCCCACAGAAAGGCCGCCTTCACTGCGACCCCACCTTCGAGCTGGAGGAGATGATCCTGGAGTCCAGGCCTTTGCACAAGAAGAAGAAGCGGCTGGCCAAGAACAGGTCCCGGGACAGCAGCAGGGACAGCTCGCAGTCGGTGAGTGACAGGCCTGGCACGGGGTCCTCCCTGCCTTACCCTGATCTGAGGCCCCGCCCCCGACCTGAGCCCTGCTCGTCCTTCCCCTATGCAGGTGACCTCCCTCCTGTTCCTGGCTGTGGTGCTCGGGCTGGGGACGCATCAGGCCCAGCTCTGCTCTCGGGTCTCCCACACTCTCCCTGGGTGTGTCTCCTCTTACAGGGACACCCTAACCCCGGATGACCCTCTCCTAACTGACTCTGTCACATTCCAGGGAGCTGCAGGGTAGGATGTCACTCTGGGAGGGACACAGTGTAACCCACAGCAACCCCTCTCCTGCCCCAGGAGGTGGGGGCACTTCTGGGGAGCTCCGGCTGTGAGCATGGGATCAACCCTGCACCTGTCCCCCGGGTACAGCTGGTACTCAGAAGCACCTGGAGGTACAGGTGTGGATGGCAGGGGTCACAGTGGTGACCCTGTAAGCCACTGGTGGCCCCCTCCTGCCCCTGGACCCGTCTGAGCCGGCAGAGGCCCCCAGCCCAGGGTCACCTCCTCGCACCTGCTCCCCGGCACAGGGTCAGGCGGGAGGTGGGTGTCGGCCGCCCCCCCGGCAGGGCTGCAGGTTTGTGGGCATCCCTGGGGTGCCTGGATCCTGGGGAGCAGTGGGGCCTGGCTGCTGGTGGCGGCCCCTGGTGCGCGGGGCTGGAATTGCAGGTGTGCCCCCCCCCCATTTCCAGGTGGGGCTGATTTGGTGTGGTTGTGGGGTGAGGACTGGGAGCCCCTCCGCGGAAGCCGGCGAGCCACGCCCCTTTGTCCTGCCGGGATTGCTAAGAGTCATGTGCGTGTCCTGAGGCAAGGGCCTCGTCAGAGAGGTTGCAAGCATTCTGTTCCGGGGGTTTTCTCCTCTTTGCGGGAGGTGTCGTTCGCGGAGGCGTTGGACCTGATGGAGCGCGGCGTGTCCACCTCTGCTGTCTCGTTCCCGCTGCTGGCGTCTCTCCCAAGAGACCGCCGCCTGACCGAAGGCCACGAAGATTCGTTGCTGCCTTTTCTTCTAAGTGTTGTGTAGTTTTACGTCTGGGGTCCGCTTTGGTGCATTTTTACGGATAGCATCAGGTTGGGGTCCAGGGTCAAAATTTTGCACGTGGATGCACTCTTTTAAGTGCTGTTTTTTGAAAAGACCTTTCTTTTCCCTTTGAATGCCTTGGCGTCTTTTTCAAACATTAATCCACCAAAAGTAAGGGTTTATTTATGGACTTGCGATCCTACCCCATTGATCTGTTCATCTTCCTCGTGCCAGCCCCGCACTGGCCTGATGACTGTAACTGTAGTACGCTTCGAGATCAGGAACCGTGAGTCCTGCACTTTGTTCTCTTTCAAGATTGCTCGGCTGCTTTGGGTCCCTTGCATTTTCGGTGAATTGCAGGAGGTTTGGGAAGTGTATCTGAGCTGCTCCACGGGTCTGTTTTTGGCTAGAAGTGGAGCCTGGTTGCAGGCTCCGTGGGTGACAGCTGGGGTGTCAGTGCTCATTAAGGCCCCAGAGACGTCTGCCTGGAGACGGGGATTCATCCGAAAGGTTTATTCAGGAAATAGGCCCCGGGGGGTGGATGTCAAAGTCCCGTGGGCAGTGGCTTCAGCCTGACCCTGCAGGGACCCTGGCATGTCGGCCACACTTCGAGGATGCTGGCTTTCATCTCCCAGCCCCCACGGCCATTCCCAGCCCCCACGGCCATCAGCTATGGGGCAGGAGGGACATGCGTTTCTGCGGCCTTCCCACCGTGTGCGTGTTGGCCAGGGACCGAATGGCGCAAGTGTGGGCATTGGAAGGACAGCGCCCAGAGCAGGATGGACACACAGACACAGCACAAAGCTTCCTGCCGATGCACATGACACAACTGTGGAAGGGGGTGCTCTGTGCACCCCGTGGTGCGTGCAGCCCACCTCGGTACCACCTGCTCCCACCGTGCCCTGGATAGTTCTGGAACCAGCCTCAGGCCCAAGATGAGCACGGTTAGCAGGATGGACCACAGCCCTGGCCGCTCCCGTCCTCCATGTACCTCTTGTGTGGTGTACATGAGGTACCCTCGTGTACCTCTCCTCCGGGGGTCTGTGTGTCAGTTGCTCCCCTCCTGGCGTGACACGGACCCTAGCCCGAGAGCTCAGAGCCCTGGTTGAATCGTTTCTCAGGCGGGAGTGTGTGCACTTGTCCATGTATTATCAGCAGGAGGTCAGGCAAGGCTGACACATTCTTGGTACAGAAGCCCTGTCCCTGATGGTGGAGCCGGTCACCCGGCCAGGGTGGTGGCTCCTCTGGGGAGGCCAAGGTGGCAGGGCAGCAACTGGGGAGGACAGAGTTGCACACGCCGAGCGCTGGCCTCCAGTCTTCAGTGGGCACTGACCACTGGTGTGAGGAGCTTCTGGGCTGGGGGCGCCCAGAGCCCACTCAGGGCCGGGCACAGTTCGCCCGATCCCCCCACCGTGGACGCGTGTGGACAAGGACATCTGGAGGACGTGCCACTTCCTGCCCCCCCCATCTAGTTACCGTCACCACCAGCATGGCGCAGGACCGCGAACGTCCGACGAGTGAGGCTCCTTCTGGCTCCACCGTGACAAGGCCGGGAGGGTAAGCCGGCCTTGGGCCAAGACCACGGAAGTGCCACGGTCCACCTTGGGTGACTGCAGTCCGGTCCTCGTCCTTCCTGTCGGGGGGCACAGAGAGGACGCCTCCGTCAACCCGGAGGCCACGAGCCACACCCCGGAGCTCTGCGTAACGGTGCAGCGAGGACCCTGCCTCCGGCTCAGCCGCGGCGCCTGGAGCTGCCACGGGGTTACGCGTACTGTGGCCCCCGCCGCCTGCCACGAGCCAGGGGCCAGGCCTGACAAGGGGGCGGGAAGAGAGCGGGGAGCAGCGTCCCTGTGCCCTGAATGTTCGAACGCAAAGGTACAGACTTGAAGTCATGGACTGCCGTTCCACCGCCGACGCGCACTTGTGATTTATCGGGACCAGGCTGCTTTGTCGGGTCAGGGAGCAGGACCTACTCCTTTTCCACCACAGAAGCTGCTCCCCACGGGTCCGGGCACGGCCGCGAGGGCTCTGCCGGATGCCATGAGTGCACCTTGTTCATGCCCTCAGCGGCGGGGGGCGACAGCCACGGGGTGGGGCTGGGGTGGGGTGGGCGTGGCCACGGGGTGGGGGCTCGGTGAGGTGGGCGTGGCCACGGGGTGGGGCTGGGGTCGGTGGGCGTGGTCACAGGTGGGGCTCGGTGAGGTGGGCGTGGCCATGGGGTGGGGCTGGGGTGAGGTGGGCGTGGTCATGGGTGGGGCTCTGTGAGGTGGGCGTGGCCATGGGGTGGGGCTCGGTGGGTGGGCGTGGCCACGGGTGGGGCTCGGTGAGGTGGGCGTGGCCAGGTGTCCTAGCGGACCCTGCATCCAACCGACCTCCGAAGGCCGGCGTTCCCCCTTCCCCAGGTGTGCTCACGGGTGCGCTCCGGAAATGATTGGGATTTCCCATCAAGGTGGCTGATGACAGCCTTCTGCTCTTGTACCTTGATCTCACTATGCCCATGTGCGAGCGCGTGCGTGCCTGTGTCTGAGCCCTCGCTGTCCACCTCTCCGACCCCCAGGGGCACTGTGACCCGTCGCACATCACTAGATCCCGGGGCTGGAGGTGACCTGCTTGTCACTGCAGACTCACTGCCGTGACCCTGGTTACTCCCACCTGGTTAGGTCCGGCTAAGTTAGGTCCAGGCTTCTGCCGTTCCCACATGCCATCGTCACCATGGAGCTCAGTTCTAGAAAACGGGCAGCGCTGAGCTGCTCCATGGTGTCGTGACCCTCACCAGCTCATTCCTTACCACCTTGCCGAAAGGAATGTCCTTTGGGGCCTCCAGGAGAACATGGTCATCTGAAGGGTCCTTGGTTCTTGAGTCTGTTGGCCCATTCTACTGCCCACTTCTCTTGAGACTGAGTCCCCCTCAGCACTGGCCCCAGGCTCTTCAAGGCCATCATGTCTTCCAAGGTCCCGGGAGCTGCCCTGCAGCTTGTTAGACCCCACTTCAGGGGTCTTGCCAGGGAATGAGCTCCCTGGTCATGGGAGGATGCCTCATGCGACCACATAGCCCACACCCGCCCTCCCACAGCCCTCCAGGTGCTCACCCAGGCTGTCCTCCCGCAGCAGGGAGCGCCTTTCTGACCTTAGCGGGTCCCACACTGGCTGTGCTGCTGGTGACCAGGACCATTCAGAGGCCGGGAGGGCAGGTGGAAGCAGATCCGGGGAAGCTGCTCTGTGCCACCTGCAGGAGCCTGGAGAGGTGCTGCTCTCCTCCTGTGGCAGGGGGGCCTCTTGCAGGTTGAAAGGTGCAGGCGCATCGCGGGGCTGGTGTGCCTACCCGTGTCCACTCAGAGCCCCTCCCAGGTTCCGGGGTCCAGCTCCCTCCTTCCCACAGCCTTGGCTTTGGTGCAGGGAGGGGAGGGAGTGAAGCCAGGTGTGGTTTCTGGCCAAGTTTCGTCCTGCAGACACTGTGTCCGTGTCAGCACCCAGCCTGAGGCAGGAGCTTCCAACCTGGGCATCCTTTGGTCACTGGCTAAGGGTCACCCAGGAGATGCAAGGCCCCAGATGTTCTGGCTGCCCGAGCAGTTCCTCCAGCAGCCTGAAAGCAGGTCTCCAAAGAAAGCCCCAGGGGCAGGCCACAGGAGGACAGGTGGGGAGGGAGGCAAGCTCAGGAAGCCCCTGAGGGGATGCGAGGGAGCCTCAGAGCCACACTACACTCATCGGTATGTTTTTCTGACTAATAGGAGAATGACTACCTTCAGGACTGCCTTGACGCCATCCAGCAAGACTTTGTGATTTTTAACAGAGAAAAGTGAGTGAGTGTTGGGGGTGGGCAGCGGTGGGCAGGGAGGAGGTTGAGGCTCTCTGGGCCACACAGGTCATGAGCCCCAGCAGCCATGAGGCATCAGGGGGCCTGGGAAGCGGACGCCCACCCTCTTGGGGCATCAGGGCAGGAGCCCTGGGGGCAGAGGGTGGGAGGCCCCAGCTCAGGCTTGTGCTCCTTGGGAACTTCCAGTTCTAAATGGGGGCCTAACGGCCAGAATCTCCTGGGGAGACCCTCGGTGCTCTGCCCAGACGGGCCGATGACTCGCAGTCCTGCAGAATCACATGAACTGCTACCTTCATGCATTCCATAAACCGTTTCTGAGTGCCAGGGACTCTGGGGCAGGAAGATAAGACAAGCCACAAATTGCTAACACACCTGCTGCAGGGGAGGGAGGAAGCCTAGCACAGTGGGCCCAGGAGAGGAGTGGCAAGGTGAGGCACGGAGGGCTTCCTGGAGGAGGCAGCTGTGAGCTCTGTCCTGCCTCAGTGACCAGAACGATGTGTCGGCACTGGTTTAAGGCACTGGCTTCCATCCTGGAGGTCAGAGGCCTGAGTAAGAACAGACTCAGTCAAGCTCTCTGCAAAGCTTTGTTCCAAAATTGCTGACCCATAGGAATGCACTTAAACTAGGTGTCCTCAGCTTCTGGCTCACCAGCCCCACTGCTCGAGCCCTGAGGCCTCAATGGTCATACAGGGCGCTGCTGGGCTGGGCATTTCTCTCAGCTCCCCATGGCGCCTGCAGGGGCACGAGGTCCAGCCGTGTTCCCGGGGCACCTATTCCGCGAGTCCTCAGACAAGTTGGGGACCAGCCAGAAGCGTCCTGGGGCTGCTGGTGAGGCTGCAGAGCGCCCCTCCTTGTGTTTCCCCACCAGGCTGAAGAAGAGCCAGGACCCCGTGAGCGAGCCCCTGCCCGCCCCCGAGGCCGGGGATGCTGTGGAGGACCAGGAGGGGGCGCGCCCCGCGCTGCCCACGTGCGGCTCCATCTGCCCCTCCCGCCTCACCGAGAGTTAACGCCAGTTGCTTTGGAGACTCGGTCTGCCAGCCGGACAGGACAGGCGGCAGGGAGAGGCCCCGCGTGGACGTTCCCAGCCAAGCAGCCCAGTTCCTCCCAGCACAGACCCGGCCGGTGGCCCCGCTGCACCCTGGCCCTGATTTCCCTGGGACGGGCTGCCTGCCCACTGGCTCTCGGCGGCATAGGGCAACAGGAGGCTGTCAGTGTGGCCGAGGGCTGGGCGCCCCCCTCCCTAGAGGCTCCGTTCCCGGCAATTGTGGCAGGAGGCCCGGGGCCTCTCCTGGTGGCCCCCTGACCCGCTCCCGGCAGCCATAGAGGTCCCAGCACCCCCAGCTGTACATATGGGCGCCAGCCCTGCTGTGGGCAGGCGGACACCGTATGCGGCCTCCCCGCGGCCACTCAGGCTTGTGTGTCCGGGGCGGGGGAGGTGAAGAGTGTTTTTATAGAGATACTTCTGCCGTGTTTCTGTAGATTTCTCACCTCTGAGCATCACGACGTAAGAGCTGCTGGGTGTCCGTGTTGTGTGTGTTGCGTGCCCGCAGCTGTGGGGTGCAGAGGCCTGTCCGTGGGCCGGGCAGCTCCCACAGTCCCATGGCTGCGGTGGGGGTGCCCTGGAGGGGGTGGGGCGGAGGCCAGGCCTGCCGCAGAACCAGAACCAGCACCGCAGGTCCTGTGAGAAGCTGGCTGGACCGGGCGGAGGAGGCAGGCTCCCTGCCCCACTTGCTGAGGGCCAGGCAGTGAGAAACGCAACCCCAAGTGCTCATGTGGGGACTCAGGGCTCCGGTCACCAGCGGGAAACCAGGGTCCAGAGGTGTGCGGCTGCATGATGCCCTGCGGGGTGGCGGGGGGGAACCAACCCCCAGAGGAGGTTCTAGGTGGAGAGCTGGTGATGTTGGAGATTGGAGCAGGGAAAGAGGTTTAGGGTTTTGCAAAAATATGTAAATCTTGGGCGCCTAGGTGGCTCAATTGGTTAAGCGTCCAACTCTTGATGTCAGCTCAGGTCTTGAGTTCAAGCCTGTTTCGTGCCTTGGCGGCAAGGATGTGGGTGTGGCCTGGCTCCGTGATCATCTGTCTCACCAGGACCTGGACACGGGCCCCAGCGGAGCCCCAGAAACCTGGCTGTGATGTCACACTGACCCAACAGATCTGGGCCAGCAGGAACATGGGGACCACCAGGTTGGACCTTCTCCAGGGGCTGCCCTGGACCATGGCAGCTTCACCAGAAGCCTGGATTCAAGGGTGGAGCTGTTCATGTCCCCCCAGAGGTCACAGCTGGTCACCACTGGGAATGGACGTCGGCACAGGTGCTGGAGTGCCTGGCAGTGCGAGGTGTGGGGGACCATCCCTGACCTGTCCAGCTCTTCTGCCCAGTGACCATGCACACCCTGCTCCCAGGACGAAGACACCCTCCGGGAACATCCTATGAAGCAGGAGAGGCCAGCCCAGCCCAGCAGCTCCTCCTCCTGGGTCAGAACCCTGGTGGGGGGGCGGGGGGCGGGCACAGACCTCAGGCCAGGGCCACACTCCTGGCCCATCTGGTCGGAATGTGGGTGCAGGTCCTCCAGCCCTACCCTCTCCCTTGGAGCGCCTGGCCGTGGGTCATGCCAGCATCCCTCTGTCTGGCTGCATCTGGCCAGCAGGCCTGGATTCGGGCACGGTTCCCAGGCCCCCTTCCTTGAAATGAAGCACCAGCCCTGCCCCTTCCCTGCCCAGAGGCGGAGCAGAGCTGTCCCCAGGGGTGGCCAGCTGTGCAGCCAGCAGGAATGTCCCCGAGGGTCCTGCGCATAAGCCACTGGTGGGAAGATGAAGTCAGGGCCACACACCAGCAGCTTCTCACCCGAACGCCTTTAATTGACCCGATTCCCTGGGGGCCTGGGGCGTAGGCCGCCATTGGGGCTGCAGGGGGGCATGCAGGTTGCCGGCTATAGTTGTCCCAACGCACAAAACCGCTGCTCTAACCAACTACTGCAATGCACACTTAGTAAAAGGACAGCATCTCAGCTAAAGGATCCTAAGACTCCCCTGGAGACAGGCAACTATGTGGGCCAAGTTTGGTCCTTGGCAACGTGTACAAACAAGGCCACCCTTCGCCAAGTTCCCGATGGGTCCCTGAAGCCTCGTGGGTGCTCCCCCCACACCAAGTAGACGGGGAGAGGAGCCGGCGGGAGGCCCGGGGCTTTGCGGGGCGGTGATCCACAACGGGGAGAAGGGAGCAAAGGCCCAGAACCTGCAGCCTGGCCCGCTGCCCGTGCATGTATGAGGCCCCGGGCGGCAGCCCTGCCTTCGTGCGGCACCTGGCCGTCCTTCAGGACCACCACCTCCAGCCTCCTCAACCTGGCAGTGAAACCCCCCTCTCCTTGCACGGGCTCCTCCCACAAGACCTGGGACCCCAAAAGGGGAGTTTCGGGGGGGGAAGGTGAGGCTAAGCACCTTTCAGGTAAGTTCAGCAAAGGGAGAGCTAAGTGAGGTGAGCGGCCGCCACCAGCCGCTGCCCTGTGGGAGAGCACCAACCCGCTGGGCCCCAAGGGGTTGTCTAGGACAGCGACGTGATGTTGGAACGTCCGCCGGGGGGGGCCATGATCTTCTGAGCCGTGCGTCGGGCAACGTGGTCGTCAGCCTGAGACCCTGCGGAGAAGGCGGGGGTGAGGGCGGGGCGCGGGTGCACTGGCTGCAGCTGTGACCACGGCGGGGGCCACTGCATCCCCAAGCACCCACACCGTGGACAGCCCGGCGCAGGGAGGAGGCGACCCAGCTGATGCTCCCACGTTGAGGCCGGGGTGCCCAGGAAGTGCGGCGGGGGCCAGGCCTGCTCATCCCGCCTGTGGGTCTCAGCCCCGTGGCCGGAGAAGGCTGCCCCTAGCTTTTAAGACGTCCCTGGCTTTCTAGGGGGACCTGCCCAGGCCCTGTGTGTCCAGGAGGTGAGCAGGGACTGTCACCCAAGAGGGTGGTCAGGCCAGGACATCAGGGGCAGGAAGAGGGAGGGTCTGGCTCTGGTTTGCAGGGAGGACCTGGGGCCCAGGGCCTCTGCAGGAACCCGCCACACAGTGTGCCAGGACCCTGACCACAGGCCCAAGCAGTGGCCGGCACACCGGGCCACCTGAGCCCTCCAAAGCATCCTCATATGTCCCCATGGGCTCACCAACCCCTGCCTTATGTGCCTCACATGCAACTCTGAGGCTGGAGGGGCTGGACCCCACGTGGCACTCGGGTCCCACAGAGGCATCCCATGCTCACCCCTGGGCTGAGTGACAGCCCTCTCCTCAGCATGGCTGGTGCAAGGTGGGGGGTCACTGCGGCCACTCTGGGGCAGACGCCAGGGCAGGGCGGGATTTCCCCATGGGTCCACACCCCGGGCCTGGGCCCCAGCAGGGCGGGCGGAAGCATGTTCTGCCCCTAGTCCCCACCTTGCCCAGTCTGCGGGTGGTTGTGGATGGAGTCTGAAGCCTTGCTGAGCTCGCCCACCAAAAAGCTGAGCCCTGGTACCTGTGACCCCAGGGGTCCTCCTGCCCCTGAGGATGCCCCAGCAGAGCCCCACCCCCCTGGCCCTGCTCCACTCACCAGACAGGCTGAACCCCGACCGGTGCAGGTTGCGCACGGGTGGGACCGAGATCTTCCCTGGGCAGGACGCACGGGCCTGGGCACTGCCCCCCGGCTTGGCAGGCACCATCACCTCATGCACGGGCCCATCGTAGAGGCCTCGGGGCACGCCGTGGATCTCCGCCAGCTGCAGGGCCGAGGGGCCTGGGCGTGAGGGGGGCTGAGCCTGCTCCACTCCATGGGCCCCCCTCGGTCGGGCTCCAGAACCCAGTACTCCCTGCGTCCGCCTGCACACTTGCATGCACACGTCTCCATGCTCACACACGTGCACACAGCTCCTGCCCCCGAGGCTGGGTGGCAGTGCCCTAGGCTGGAGGACACCACTCAGACGGGCAGCCCTGAGCAGGTGGCCTCTTCCGGGAATGGAAAACCAGCCCCGACAGCCCCTGCCTCCTCAGGACCCATGGTTCTGTAGCCCCAGAAGAGCCCCCACTCCAGCCCCGAGGAGGCCCTGGGTCTCCCTGAAAATGGCCCCAAGGCCAGAGACCTTTCCCAGCAGCCACCACAATAGACAAAGGGGCCATGGATCGAAGCAAAACCGCCCTGTATGCTTGTGTTTCCTGTGGGCACCTCCCTTGGGATTCGTGTCTAGACTCATGACGGTGGCCAGCCCTTGGGGGGTCACCACGGGGTGGCGGCTCGCACCACCGAGCAGCAAGTGTGGGGCTTCAGTCCCAAGGATTTGGGTCTGAGTCCACACTCCCCCAATCACCCTGGGTGAGGGCCTGGGAGCCTTCCACCTCTCCATTCGTCGGTGGTATGTGGTGCCCCAGGCCCCCCACCCCACCGAGCTGGAGGGCTGGGGATGCCTGGCCCTCTGGCCTGGACTCTACAGCTCGGCCGGTGGGGCCGCCCTCTCAAGGTCCCTCCGGGGGGAGCAGCTGTGAGGCCCTCACAACCTGAGACCCCCATGTCTTTGCGAGTTAGACCCCTGACCTGACCCTCCTTGCTCCAGATTCGGACAACATCCTTCTACAAAACTGGGTAAAGCAGACCTGTGTGTACCGTGCGTGTGTATGTGTGCGTGCGTGAGTCCCCAACACGTGCTGTGCATGTGTGTGTGCATGAGCCACTAATACGTGCCTTGGGGGGGCTAGGCAGACAGACGCCTGGGGCACCCGACAGATGCTGTGGGTAGCTCAGCAGAGGGAAAAGTACTCACAGCTTCTCAGCTCATGAAAGCTGTTGCGGAAACTGCGTGTCCCTGCGTATTTATTCACGTGCACGTCCGTGCATGGGGATGCACACGAGGAGCCCGGGCTGCCTCTACTGCAGTCTGTAGTTCTCCTGGGGCGGTGGCCCCTACTGATGTTTGTAACAAAGCCACCACTAAGAGCCCACCCGCCGCGCGGGCCCTGCTCCCCCCAACGCCCAGCGGGCAGGGCCAACCCTGATGAGCCCCGCAGCCTCACAGCACTCCACGCCTCCCGTGCCGAGCTCAGGCCTTACCCGGTTGCGCGCCTTTATCCGCTTGTAGACGAAGTCGGGGAACGTCTTCCGGGGGATGAAGCGGCCAGCCCCGGGGGTGACGAACAGGTTCCCGTCCTCCAGCACAACCCTGCCCTGACTTATGACCACCGTGGGGGCTCCTCGGCACTCAAGGCCTTCAAAAATGTTGTACTCCACATTCTGGGGAGACAGGGGGAGGGTCTGGCACCCAGCACTGTGGTCCCGGTGCCCCTCAGCGCACTGCGGGCCGACCAGCATCCTCGGAGGCCGGTACGCCCGCTTTAGGACCTCTGACAAGAACCGGTCACCTCGGCAGGGCCGGAGTTCAGAAGGAACTGGGGAGGAGGGGCAGGTGCAGGGTGCTCATCCTGAGGGCTGCCTGGCCCGGCCCTGACCTGGACCCTGACCTGGACCTGCACCCGGACCCTGACCTGGACCCAGACCCTGACGCTGACCCGGACCCAGACCCTGACCCGGACCCAGACCCTGACCCGGACCCAGACCCTGACCCGGACCCTGACCTAGGGACCAGGCTTCTCTTACCAGGTTGTGGCTCTTGGCAGAGACAATTTTTGTGGCCTTGGGGTTCCAAATAACCAGGTCAGCATCGGAGCCCACAGCCACTCGCCCCTTCCTTGGGTACACGTTGAAGATTTTGGCTGCGTTTGTACTGGTCACAGCCACATACTCGTTCTCATCCATCTTCCCTGAGGCCTGGGAAGCAAACAGCCAAGCTGGGGCGGGGGTCGGGGGGCGGGGGGGCCAGGCTCCAGGCTTGTGTGTGGACAGGGGCCCCCATCCCCGGCAGTGAGCGGCGTCAGGATTGTGCGCCCAGGGCGCCACTGCCTGCGAACTCACAGGTCCCTCTCAGGCTGCACACGAACACAGTGCTCACTGTGTGAGTCAATGTGAGGTTTTGACGATGTCTGTGTCCCCTGAAGGGCCAGACAGCCCCTCCCCACCAGGTGGCCGGGTGGCCTGGGGAAGCAGGGTGGTGAAAGAGGCCTGGGGTCAGTGTTGGAGTTTGGGGGTGCAGGCAGTCTGAGGAAATCTCAGGCATTTTGGGGAGACTAGCAGCGCAGAGTGTAATTCCATAGGAGACAGGGACCCCACTCTCCCAGATGCTTTCTGCGGGTGACATGAATCTGGGGGAGGGCCTGGCTGCCTCACAGCGCTGGGGGCCTCCTCCAGGGGGACAAGAACCGCTTGTCCGGGGAGTCCTGGATGGCAGGGCTGGGGGCGGCAACACCCCGGGGAGCCCACACTCCCTGCACATGGAGTGCTGAGTGGTCAGTGGCCTCCCTTCCTGACAACCTGAGTGGAGCATGGCCCGCGGCCCCCACTCTACTCACCACACACTTCTCCCAGACCACAGACATGCGCTCCTCGATGCCGTTCGTGCCCTCGGGGATGAGTGTGAAGTTGTCTTTGCCGACGGCCTTCTGGGCAGTGGTGAAGGTGCAGTGGGCGCTGCCGGTCACCTGGAGGTCCCCACTGGGAAAAGTCGGGGTCAGGGGAGCCCAAGGTGGCCTGATTTTCCTGAGCCAGCAAAGGCTGCTGTCGGCTCTGTCCCCCTCCCTGGCCAGCACAGCCCACAGGTGCTGGAGGGTGCCCGGGAGAGCTGGGCAGAGCTGCTGCCCCTGTGTAGGGCACAGGAGGGCCAGGGCAGACCAGTGTGGGGCCTCGGCCCAGGAGGTCCTGGCCCAGTGTTTGTGCAGAAGCCAGAGCTGTCAGCAGATTGAAGCCACAGGGGGCGGGAGGGGAGGTGCGCGGGGGGTGTGTGTGGAGCTGGCGGGCCGCACCGGGGCCACCCTGGAGCAGGCCCCTCCCTACCTGGACAACAGGGAGGTGAGGTGGTCTGCAGTGCTGGGGTCCGGGTTGATGGGGGGCGATGTGACAAAGGCCGCGGCCTTTGCCCAGTTCTTGCTCCAATAGTGCGAGCCATTGGTCCCCAGACTGGCAGTGATGGGCTCCCCGAACACGACCACCCCTGCAGTGAGAGACCCGTGAGAGGCACCGCAGCCGGCCTGCATGCCCCCCAGGGCCCGGGTGGGGTGGGGAGCCCGGCGCTATGCTGGTGATACCCCCCAACTGTCCCGCAGTTTCCCGACATGGATGGCTTCCCCCGCGGGGGGCCTCTCCAAACCCACTCCCCCACCCCGCCTGCTGGGGAAGCAGCCAGGCGACGGCTGCAGCCAGACATGATCAGCTGGGCCTGCCCCTGCCTGTCCCTGCGGACCCCCGTTCTTCTCTGTACCCCTGTCTCCTCCAGGTGCGAGGTGCTCTATGGGCAGACCCTGACCCGGCGAACAGTGAAGTGGGGCTCCCAGGGGCGCCACGTTCCATCACACACAGAATCAGGGGCTCCGCGTCACCCACACACATGCCACTGCACACAGACACAGCACACGTGTGCCCAGTTCTGTCGCTTCCGGGCAAACGGGGCCAACAGGCGTCTCTCCAACAGGAGACGGGGCCCCACCTGTAGAGGGACTGCCCCCACCGACGGGCTACAGCCCCGAGACCCCCCCCCGCACCAGGCCAGGCAGGGCAGCCCCTGCTTCTCGGGTCTGTCTGCTCTGAGCCTCAGGGTAGCCAGCTGAGCGCCCGGCCCTGAGACGTGACCCCGACCCCCAGAGAGCTCCCCCTACAAGTGTGTGGGGGCCAGGGTCTGGTACTCACCCCTGCGCTTGGCTTGGGCAACCACGTCGGCCGCACCCTTGCTCATCACTTTGGTGACGTACAGGGGGCAGTTGGCCTGCTTGGCGACAGTGACAGCGCGGTACACAGCCTCGGCCTCCACCTGGGGACGGGGGTGCTCAGACCGGGCCAGGGCCCTGGGGCCTCCTCCTGACCATCACCCACGGATCCTGGGCCCAGAGAGGGCACCATGCATGACTGAGGACCCCACCTGTGGCTCAGTGCCCAGGATCTGGGTTGACCCAAGTAGTACCCAGAGCCCGTCCTCACCGCCTTCTTGGTCTTTGGTAACGGCCTTGGGCCACCAGTGGTCACGGGGGGACATGAGCCCAGTGGGGGGAGGGCCCGTTGATTCACCCCTCCCAGAGGGGAACAAGCGCATCACAGCCCTGCCCCGCCATGGGGTCAGGGTCTGCCCCTGTGCAGAGGCAGTCTGGGGTGCAGTCCGGGCTGGGGTGGCTCTCAGCAGGCAAACTCCTACCTCCTCGGGGCGGCTGAGCACGTGGCCCTCAGGGCCAGTGATGCCAAGGTCCAGCAACCGCTTCTGCTCCTAAATAAACCAACAGGACAACACACTCCAGCCCAGGTGCAGCCAGAGCCCTGCAGAGCCCCAGTCTGGGTGTGATGCCCAGGAGACCCCACCCCTGAGATGAGCCCTGGCCCCCACATCTCACATGAGCTCCGCCCCCCAAGATGAGCCCTACCCCAAACTCTCACGTGAGTTCTGCTCCTGAGATGAGCCCTGCCCTCCACATCTCATGTGAGCCCTGATCCCCAATCTCTCATGTTAGCCTTGACCCGGAGATTAGCCCTGCCCCCTGACTCTCACATGAGCCCTGCACCCTTAAACTGAGCTCTGGGCCCCCAGGCCCCCCAGAATCACCAACTGCAGAGAACTCAGAATGGAGGAGGAGAGTGGGTCTGGAGAAGAGTGACCCCAGATCCCTAAATTACAGATGAGGTACAGGGCTTGGTGAGGGCACCCTGCCTGCCATACTGGGTTCCGCCAGTGAGGACACACCCAGGGGTGTGCTGGGGGCTCTGCAGTTGGGGTGGACAGACTGCATCTTCCCCAAGCTTGCCCTTGAAGATCTGTACCTCAGTGGCCTCTTGCATAAACAAAGATGTGGACGCCAAGCTTCACCGTGAAGAACGCGGGAGAAGCAAAATGCCATGGACCCAATAACCAGACTCCCCAGCATTGGTGGGGTGTCTCCCAGGCACGTTCTGCCCACCCACCCGTGTACTGAGCTGGACCCGCAACATTCTCCTAACCATGCCGCCAGGCCTGGCCTTGGACCAGAGAGGCACGTGCAGCACTCAATGCCCTCATGGGGGGGAGGGGGACAAGTTACCTGGGAACCCCATGTGCCCCTCCCCAGGTGTCACCACCTTTGAGCTTGGGATGGGGCTGAGCCCGACCGGACAAGAAGCTTCTCTGTGGGTCTGGAATGCCAGGGAGGTGTGCTGCTGCGTGTGGCCCTGTGAGGAGCCCCCAAACCTCCCAGGTACCCCGCAGCCCCTGCACCTGGGGGCGCCTACCCCACAGCCCAGGGCCCAAAGGGCAGGCATGTGACCAGCACCTGTGCTCAGTGGTCAGAAGGAACACAGGTCCAGCTTGGGGGGGGGCCTCAATCCACAGGGGCAGAAGGCACTGGGAAGCCCCATCTCAGCCCCCCAAAAGCAACATTTTGGTTCTGGGGAACTTCTCCTAAGTGTGCTGATCATGGAAAAATCGGCTATGGCCAAAAGCCCCCAAGGCTCCCCCAACTCCCTGCTTGCTTGACCTCTGATTTTGGGCAACCTACTCACCAGAATATGTTCACTATTCCCCGCCCCCTGGGGTTTATGGGATGAAGTGCTCACATCTGAGTGTCTAGGAGCCACCCCTGCCCCTCACCGACACCCGCCCAGCCTGCAGGCCGCCCGCCTGGCACCTCCTCCACGATGTCCCCGTTCTCTGCATGCACTTGCGCCAGGGCACCCAGGTCCCGGATGATGCTGAAGATCTCGTACATCTGGGAAGAGAGCACACAAGGTGTGTGGGGCTGCATCCATCCTGCCGGCAGCCTGAAGCACCTGCTGTGCCCTCCTCTCAACACCTGCCCTCACCTGGCCGTCTGTGCACTGGCACCTGTCCTTGTACGCCATGAAGACCAGGAAGGAGTTCACACCTGGAGGAGAGGCAAAGAGGAGTCGGATGCTCGGCTGTTGTCGGTCAGATACCCAGGAGCCTCGACTGCTCCCGGATCTCCTCCCATGGGTGCCCGGTCCTAACTAACACATCAACTCCGCTATGAAACTCTAATGCGGTTTCAGCTTCAGGACTTTTGACTGAAAGAAATTAAGCCTTGTTTATCGACTGGCTTGTTGCAGCACAGGCAGCATAGAGAACTGGGGGTTTGAAAGCATTCTGCTCCTAAAACGACCTTCAAGGTCTAAGATGTGCAGCCCTTGTCCTTCACCCGGGGCAGGAGACAAGGGGACTGGGGCAGCTAAGGACAATTACAGGACGCATCTCTCAGATGCAGAGGTGGATGACCTCATCTGGATCCTCTGGAAGTAGAACAGACCTTCAGTATGTCCAACTTCTCCCCAACTCCCAACCACGCCCCCTACCCCGGGGTTAGACGGATGCAGAGTCCAGCCTGGCCAGGGGCCCCAGGGAAGCTCCCCTTCAAGCTAGGGAAGCCCAGGCCCCCAGGCCAGCCTTAGGAGATGCCCTTACCTTTGTCCTTGACTAGGGCCTCCAACTCCTCCCGGATGCTCTCATGCCAACGAGGGATGTCCACGTGCAGGGAGTAGTCACAGCAGGCCCCGCTGTCTGCACGCTCCCGCCACTGCTCGTAGGCCGCCAGGAGGCTCACGCCCGTGTCAGGGAACACATGGTCCACTGTGGGGGGTAGTGCAGTCAGCTGAGCCCCCACTCTGGTCACTGGGAACCACCCTGGCCTCCAGGGGAGATGGGTTTCATGTTCCCGAGAGACCAGAAAGTGCATCGGGGGAGCAGTGGAGAGGCCACGGGTCCCTTACGCAGGGCTGGTGCCACCATGAACCTGCCCATCGGCCCCACATCCCCCAGCCTTTCTCTGAGCAGAGAGAGAGGGGCCAGATTCGAGCCCCCCCCCAGTCCCTGATGGACACATTCACCCCAAGGAGCACCGGTGGCAGTTAAGGTGTCTTAACCTCCCACACAGGTGTCTACCGGAGTGAGGCGCACCCGGAGGGCTCGAGGAGGGCAGGGTGGGGCAGCGCAGGTGATGGCGCCGTCCATGGTGCTGAACCTGGCCAGCCTGCGCGGAGCAGCGGGGTGGGGTTAGTTTCCAGGGCTGGTCTCCCTTGCTTGCGCCTCACGGACTACACACACCTCCAACAGTGCCCCCCACCCCTGGGGAGACCAGGAGTGCATGTCCGCTGTGCTGTCACTCCCCTCACCCAGCCTCAGGTCCGAGGTCCAAACACTGCTCACGGCCTCTCCTGGGCGCAGGGAAAGAGCTCAGAGGAGGGGTGGCCAACAAGAAGGCACACCCACCCAAAGGTTACTGGCCCACGCTGTGCCTTCCTCCAGTGCAACCCTCATGGAGGCCCCTCTGCTTCCCACTGCTCAGATCTCATGCCCAGGGCCCCGTAGGAGTGTGTGCCACCCCACCCTGCGGTCCCTCTGCAGCTCCAGCCTGGGGCTGGCAGGCTGAGGAAGACACATGGCTCGACAGAGGCCAGTCTTGCGCCTGCAGCAACTGCCCATCCTCATGGGGACACCTCACGGCTTGTCTGATGCCTCGGCATGGGCACGAGCAGGTGACAAGCATGAGGGTGTCTTGGCCAGACTTGGCCACCAGTGACGAACATGAGCTGTGGCCAAAAATGGCCACTCTCCTTAGTCAAACTAAAAAATGGATCATTGTTGGCTTTTTTTTTTTTTTTTTTGCCTGGTGGTTGAGTAATGGTTAAATACCACTTGCGAAGTAGCCCAGAGTCTGGTGGCAGCAGGGACAGAAGGCACTGTGCGCCAGCCACAGCGGAGCAACTCGTGTGCACAGCCCACCCTCACAGCCTTCTAGGGAGGGTCCTCCTCCTCCTCCTCCTCAGGTTAGCAGAGTGTGACTTCTAAAAGTTAGCTGAGTTACCTGCAGCCAAACAGTGAGAACACGGTGCAGCCAGCGTTCAACGAGATGTGAGAGGCCAGGGGTTAACCAGAGCAGAGATGCCTGTACTCACACTGCGGAGCTGATGGCGTTCAAGGCCACCAGAGGAGGGGCTGGGTCTCGTCCTGGCTCTGACCTTACCACCGTCAAGTCCACCACAGGCAAGCCAATGCACCTCGCAAGCTGTTACGTGGGGCTTGTCTGCCGAGCTCGCATGGCATACGAGCTGCTGCCCAGCACAGAGCCAGCACTAAACAAAGGGCGAGCATCTCTGCCATTCTTTTCCTAAAAACACAGCTTCCTTCTTGACACGGCAGGGACTTCGTGCAAACCAAGCTTCAGAGGCGCAGGGCTCAGGAGCAAATGTATCTGTTTCAGACAACACGACCCCCTCCGTGTGCACAAGGCATTTCAGTTTTGAAAACCTAGTCCCTGGCCAGCTGCCAGCTTCCCAGGAAATAATAAATTCCTGGGCATACATCCATTTGCTCCCGTGGAAACCCCAGCAGCATTCCAGAGCTGGCCAAGGCAAGATGACTCACAATGTGAATAGGGAAAACAAAAGAGTATGCAAGGATTTCCTAGATTGAAAGGTAATAAAGGGAAACAGACCCCTAAAAATGCCCCATTGTAAGGCTCTTCCCCCAACACATAAGCTTGGCCAGTAGAGCAAGGCGTGGGATGGGTGCCCCGCACACCGGGAGACACTCACAGATCATGGTGGTCCCTCCCGCTAGGGCGGCCTTGGTCCCCTGGCAGAAGTCGTCTGCAGGGGTCATGCCCAGGACGGGCATCTGCAGCCTGGTGTGGACGTCAACACCGCCTGGCAGGACCAGCAGGCCATGCGCATCGATGGTTTTGATGCCCCCAGGGACAATGAGGTTTTCTCCAATTTGTCTGAAAGCAACACAGATTTCACTGGTTATTAAGAGCCTGGATCAGAACACAAACGGTGAGGCAGGGAAGCATCTGTTTGGGCCGCTGGAGGAAAAGGGCAGCACGGTCAAGACTTTGTCAGCCAGGCCCCTGGAGACTGTGAGAGAGCACGACACCCTGCCAGGGGCTCGAGACGGTCACACAGAGGATCGGACCTGGGTCCGCCTGACTGCTCTTGTCAGGCCAACGTTGGCCTTCCACGTGCTGTTCTACTGACTGGTGGCTGGAGCGTGAGCAGACACGAGCAGAGAAGCTAACAGGTGCGGTCAGTAAGTATTTATTGAGCACCTGCTGTGAGCCCCGAATCGTCCTAAAGCTGTGATAACACAAATGAATGTCCTGCTTCCCAAGACCTTGCCACTAACTGGTGAGATCTCTCATGACTCAAGGCCTGGGCTTGAGCTGGGTTTTGGAAAAGGAAAAAAAAAGAAAGAAAGATAGGTGGAATTCACCCAAAAGTAAACTTGTGGATAATCTGTGATCAGTGTGTACACATGTGCTCTGTGAAGATATCCGAGGCAGAAACTCACTTTATCAAACCATCTTCCACATACAGATCAGCATAGAAGGACTGGTCATCATTGACGATCTTCCCACCTTTGATCAAAAGGCGGTCGCTCTATTGGAAACAAACGGAAGATGGGTAAGTTTTCCCCCAACCCAGTTCCTCAGCATCGTCCCTGTAACTGCTTACCCTGGGATTATGCCTGAACCCCCCGGTCACGATGCGTATACACAGAGGTGGACACAGAAGCCTGCGCTGTCTTCCACCCCCCAAGGATGGAGCAGAGGTGCCTGGCGGGAGCGCAGCTCGATGGCGGCTCCCACAGGCCCCGAGCAGGTCCCACACCCGCAGGGCAGGTAGGGCCCATGGTGTGGCCTTGCCAAAGGCACAGCGCCCCGCGGGGGGCCAATGTGGGTGAAGGCGGAGCAACGATATGCCTTACATTTAAATAGTTATCACCTAATTCACAGAGCTCAGGCTGAGATCAGAGGGGGACAAAGTTCCAGCCAGGATCCCACCCTGACCTGGAGGGCCGGCCCCCCTCGTCAGCCCACACAGAGGAAGCTTCTGGACGGCGGGTGGGCTCCGGTTCATACCAGAATGGTGCGGCCTATCGTGGTGCCGGGCGGGGGGTTTGAGCAGTGCCCCAGCAGGCAGGGTCCCTACCCCGGGGGGGAATGCCTCCCAGCGCAGGGAGAGAGACAAGGATGAGAAATTGCACAAGGCCATTGCAGACTGTGACAGACCAAGAACACAAAGAGGCTGATGTCACAGCGTGATGGGAGAGGAGGCTGGGCTGCTTCAGGGACAGAGAAGGGCCTACTGGAGTGTCTAGCTGGACATGAAGTGGCCAAGGACAGTGTTCCAGGCCAGGGGACAGCCCCTGCAAAGGCCCTGAGGCAGGAACAAGCTTGAGTTGATACCGGACACAAAAGGAAATGGGCCAGAACCTTCTGAGGGGAGGGGAGAGGGGCCAAGAGCCTGGTGCAGGTGGGACATGCTGGGCTTGGGGTGTCAGTGGGCCCCACTGGGGGGGCCTGAAGCAGGGGTTTGACCATGGTCTGGTGGATCACATTGGCTCTGTGTAAAAAGTAGAATGTGCTGTTCGAGAATGGAACCAGGGCCGTAGCCTGCTGCCATCTGAGCCTGCACAGTGAGATGGGGGGCCTCAGGCCAGAACCCTGGGGCCGAGCAGAGATGGGGCCTGGGAGGCTGGGAGTCAGGCAGGCAGGAGCTGCTGATGGAGAGGCTGTGGGGGTGAAGGGCCAGGAAGACACTGGGGTGACCACAGGTCGTGGTGCTGCCTGGAGGTATCCCAGATGGGTGACCAAAGTGCCAGCAAGCAAGGCCAGCTGTTGGTGGGTCACCCCCACAGCACAGAGCTGTGGCACCAGGTGGGGGTTGATCTAGGGCTCGGCAGCCATAAATCACTTCTAGGAACCTCACCAAATGGTGGAGAAGGAGCGGAGAGGGGCAGAAAGTGGAGTCATGCATAGAACATTGCACGGTTGTCAGGGGTGATGGTCTGACCTCAGGGGAGAATTATGGGCAGGGACATGGAAAATGAGCAGAGACGCAGAGTGCCACGCTGTGGGCAGGAACCCAGCTTTGCGGCCGTTTCTCTGTCACTCAGTTTGAGCCTCAGCACTCCCTCTGACCTGTCCAGGCAGGTGGACCTCACAAGGAGGTCTGGCCCCTCGCCTGGGGCTTCCAAGTGTCCACCCAGAGGCCAGGCCGGGGCTCCTCACACACCATCAGCCTGATGCCACGGGAGCCAAGCTGTGCAGTGTGCTTAGCAAGAACCCACGAGATGGCTGCAGTGACACACAGCCCACTACGTGGGAGCCTTACTGCATTATCCTCCGCTCTTGATACCTGTCCACTGTGTGGACCGTGTTCTCAGGATTCTAGTCACTAGAAAAACCACCACCCACCGTCTACACAACAGCTAACAAAATGCCACAGGCCAAAGGCAGCCCCCAGTGGACCGACTCTTTCTCAGATAAACTCAAGGAAACCCAGGAAGGGGAAGGCTTTGGGCAGAAGAGACTTGTGGTCTGCATGTTCCCCACTGTCCCCCAGTTAGGAAGATATGCGTGTCCCCCACTATCCCTCAGTTAGGAAGAGGCCTGTGGCCATTACACTTTTACACTGCTCCGCTTTCAGGCACCTGAGCTCAGACTTTGGAAACTGTCCTGGGTTTGGAACCAAGAGGGAAGTGCAGCTGAGATGCAGTGCTGTGCTCATCAGACCAGGCTGCAAGTTCCCCTAAACCAGATGCCTTGTGTCTGTCCCACCCGCCCCAAACCTGTGCTGGTCGCTTGGCAGGCTTCCCACATCGTCTGGACCCTGCGCCAGTCTGGAGGCAGGAACCCCTCCTGAACGGGAATGAAGGGGTCTTTCTTCCCTGAGCATCTCTCAGGAAGTGAACCCGGCAACCCCACCACCCTCCGGCTGAGGTCAACTCCAGAGTCCGGTCTTAGCCCCGCCGGCGCCCCCTGCCCCCGTCCAGCTGGCGCCCGGGCGCCTCCCTCCCTCCCTCCCTCCCTCCCTCTGCCTGGCTACTGGAAGGGGCGGCTTTGTTTCCCGGCAGCGCGGGATGGACAGTCTGACCTCCCGCACCCGTGCATGTGGTTGTTGGGGGGGAGGGGTCTCTCCTTCCGAGGTCTGGGGCTGCCAGAGTGCCCGCTCAGCCGCGACCAGTGAGCGCTCGCCTCCCCTGGGGTCTCCGAGCCCGGGCTCAGTAGAGGGGTTCGGGCCTCCAGGGGCTCTGGGCTGAGTCGCTTTGTCTCGGACAAAGAGCTCCTAGCACGGCGGACGCGCGGTCCGGAGCTAGCCAGCGGCGCCGCGCGGGGAACAGCATCCGCGCCCCGAGGCCTGGCCGGCGGTGCCAACAAAAGGCCGCGTCCGCCCGCCAACCCCCGGGCAGAGCACCGAGACCAAGTTCGCCCGCCTCGGCGCCCGTCCACCGCGGGGAGGGAGGCACTTCTGCGCTTTGCGGAGCAGGCCTCTCCCGGCCCCGCGTCCTCCCCAGGCGCAGAGGAGGTCCCGGGATGGCGGCATGGCCTGGGACCTGTGCGTCCGGCTCGGGAAAAGGGTCCGGAGAGGCGCTCGCGGAAAACCCGGCCGCCGGCGGCGCGGGAAGAAGCCCGGCGGGAAGCGCCAGCGGCGGGACAGAAGCACGCACCGGGGCTAGACCGGGAGGGCAGAGCGCTAGGAGCAGAGCCGGGACAGTCCACCCGGGGCGGTGGGCAGGGGGCGTGGGGTGAAGGGGGGCTGGGTGCAGGGCTCACCGTGATCCGGGGGATGCTCTTCTTGCCCTGGAAGGACATCCTGCTCCTCCGGCCGGCGCGGTCGCCTCGCTCGGCCCGCGCGGCCTAGCTCAAGCGGAGCTGGGCTGGGGGTCCCGGGCGGAGGCGCGCAGAGCCCGGGCGCGTACGTGGGGGCGCAGAGCGTCCGAGTGCGAGCACGCCAGGCCGCACGGCTCCCGTTCCGAGCCCCGCCCCCGGGCCCGCCCCGCCCCCGGCCCGCCACTGCTCCTTTGCATTCAAGCCCCGCCCCAGCCGTGCTCAGGACCCACCCGGGGCGCGGCCCCCGGCCCCTGTGGTGGCCACCGGCCGGGTCTCTGTGCCCCAGGCCCCACGCGGACCCGCGGACGCATGCTGCGTGGGGAGTGGGAGAGGTCTGCGACAGGTCCTGGCCCCTGTGTGTGCGGAGTTTGCATCCCCGGAAGGAGGGCGGAGAGGTCCCGCAGTCCTGCGAGGCCCCTCCCTCGACCCTGCCCCGCGGACCACCGCCAGCTCCCTGGTGACCCGAAGCCCCCAAGGCCGCGGGGACTAAGCCTAGTCGCAAGTCCAGGCCCAGGCGCTGAGGAAGCCGGACTCCCTCCGGGAGGTGCCTCTGGCCAAAGCCTGGCTCCTTAGCATCTATGGCCGGGGCCTGGATCGGAACGCAGGGCGGTGTACTGGCTCTGGGACCCGGCGGTGGACACACCTCCTCAAGGCTGCTCTCCGGCGGCCGCGCGGAGCTCGGGGACAGGGGGAAAAGTTGGGGAGACACAGAGATAGAAAGAGATAGCGAGAGGAAGAGACAGCTACCCAGAGCCCCTGACGGACCGGAGAACCAGAACCAAGGCAGAAGAGGCCGAAAGCGCGGGCTGGGGCTGAGGCGCTGCGCAGGACAGCTTAGTCCCAGGCACAGACGCGTTCAGTCAGGGAGAGGGAGGCCCCTCCCCATCCCTCGGGCCCCCTCGCAGAGCCTGGGGATTTGGGAAGAGGACCAGCCCCTGGCCCACGCCCCGGTGGCCTCTGCCCTGCGGCTACTACCTGCTGGGGGCCGCGGCCCTGGTTCACGCCGGGCGGCTCTCCCAGACTTGCCGCCGCCTCCAGGCCATCTCGGCCTGGTTCGCCCGATCCCTCTGGGTCGCCACGTGGCCCGCTGTAAGGCTCTCCAGCCCGAAGGCTCCGACGGCCGCCGCTCGACGCGTCCAGCTGTAGCGTCTTGTTCTCAACGGCGTCCTCCACGCAGCGGAAAACGCCGCCGAGCTTGGGCCGAACCCGGGGGCTGCCTGCGCCCGGCGTCCCCAGGCCCGCGGGCAGAGGTTCCGCCGGCTCCTGCGGCTGACGTGCGGCCTTGGCGACAGCGGGCGAGGGCCCGCCGGCCCCCCAGCCTCCTGTGGCAGGTGTGCTCGCCGCGCGTGGACCCGGGCCTGGCTCTCCTCGCCTCCGCCCCCTGGCCGCCCTCCTGCCCACCCCCTGCCGGACCAGGAGCCAGCCCGCAAGGGGCTGGCGCTGTCCGCGCAGCGAGTGCTGAACGCGCCGGGCTAGTCCGAGGGCAAGCGTTCCGTCCGAGCGAAGCGCGTGGGTTCCCACCTCCGGCTCAGCCGGCGGGGCGGGCCAGGGCCACATTTCTGGGCCCCGTGGGAGGTCCTACGCCCGGCAAGGAAGCTCTGACTCTGAAATGTTTGGCAAGTGGAGAGGGTCAGGAGGATACACCCAAGAGAGCTGCTCCTGACTGCCCTTAAAGCCAAGTTCAAGGCTTTGGGGTGAGACAGGGCAGAGGGACTCAGCCTGCCCAGGGTCACAGGACGATGCTGTCCGTCTGTCAAGCCCTGTAGAGACTGACTTTTAAGGAAAAGACATCCCAGCCTCTGTTCTGTTAACGCAGCAGGCATTTCAAAATGTAAGTTCAGACAATGAGGGTCACCTCGAGGACACTTGTGCTGGTGCAGCAGGAGCTTTTCTGCAGAGCTAAATCAGCAACTTTCCCACCTCTGGTCCACCTCTGGTTTCCACTCCCCCCAAGGTGGTTGATAAAACAGCCTCTACTTAACTGTGTGAAGTCCAGTGCAAGTGAAATCTGGTGCCCAGTGTTCTTATTCATGGACAGAAATTCTTTTACTTTTCTAAACTTAAGTTTTCTCTTCTGGTTCTCACTTGATAAACAGCTACGGGAGGAAGCCTGCCTGGTGGCTGACCTCAGCCAGCTGCTGCCAGGCACCCGTGATTTCAAAGCCTGTCTTCCAGGTGATTTTCCGTGAGTCAGGATGAGGGGCTGCGGGTAAACACGTCTGGCTCCCCTCCCCAGTGCGCAGGAGGCCCAGTTCCCTTTCTGGTGTGGAACACAGCATCAGAAGTGGCTAGCATAGCCACTATGTCCAGACTTTAATGCTTTGGGAAGAGGGAACTTTGATCCTCTAAGATTTAAAACATTTTTTATTAAAACTGTACAATAATTTACAAATGAGTAAAAATCCTCTGGTATATAGCATAGGAATCACAATACAAAAATATGTGCAAAATTTTGTAGTTGACCACCATACAAACCTATTTTAGGCCTGTGAATACTGTTTAGCACTGAACAGAATATCACATGTTTAGAACGTGGTTAGTAAGGAGCTGCTTCAGAGAACACAGATACTGGCTGGCGTATTGCCATGGTAAAACGAGTCCTAATTCATTGTTGCATATATTTACAATAAAGCTCTTTAAAATACAGTAAACAAATATATGATTTGATACATATATTTACAACTTGGTTTTCCTGAGCCTAAATGTAAATCCTTTACTGTGTTAAAACACACAATCCATCTTAAGGTTTCAGTGATGGGGTGATGGTCCATGTGGATTGATATCTCGATGCCTCCAAACCCACTCCCGGCACACCTTCCTTCTCGACATCCAGTGCGGTATTGACAAGCCATGTAAGGCACGCGGGGTGTCCTGAAGGCTACGGGTTCTGCAAGAGCTGAACACTTTAAGGAAGAGCCACAGTCCTTCAGCAGCTGGACAGACCGTGGACACGTGGAAACGAGGTGCACACACTCACACATCCGTGTCAACCAGGGAGCTGCAATTTACATGGATTTCTAGTGTAGACAAACGAAAACATCTGTGTTGTTCTGGGTATTGTGGACACAATGTGATTGTATTGATAACACATGTCCACGTCTTGGTTACACAATAAACCCTTCTGGCAACTTCTGGTCCGTCCTCTCATTCCATGAGAGAGACTGGCATTGACACACAGACATCCCGTTTGAGGAAGTTGCAGTAACAGAGCCCAGGTACTTTCAGGAAATTCAATGCAGCCCACTGGTTTAGCAGGAAAGGTATACTCTAGGATTTAGAAAAAGCATGTGATTTTAAAACACCTGAATTCTTCAGATGCTCACTGGACTAGCAGGAATCAGTGACAAATGCACCTAACTGCTTTTTGTTTTTCTTTTTTCTTTTTTTTTTTTTGGCAAAAGCCCAGTTCCAAAATGCTAGCATGAATAGAAACAGTGATCTCTGCAGACAAGGGCGGGCATCGCAGCTCCATGTGGGCTTTCGGGAACATGGCAATGGTACAAATGCAGTTTGGTACGTGGAATATTATTTAAAACATTCACTGAGCCATTTTCACTACGTACTTTTACATTTAAGCAACAACTTGGTAAGCACTGGTCCAGATCTTCATGTTTCTCTGCCTTGCAGAGTTTGCCCATTTCCAGATTACAGAGCGATAAGACTGTCTGGCATGTGGTGGACAGCCTATGACGTGCTCCAGACAGATGTCCAACATGCAAAATCACGATGATCCAAATGAACACAGGCGATGTGAATTTGGGTTTCGAGTGCACATCATTAGCTCCTGAATGGCCAGCCCGCTCGGCTGCTACTCCTAGGCAGTAACTGCTGGGGCCGCAACATGTGCCTCCCCATGCGGACTTCCTGGACGCCTGCCTCATACACTCTACCCAGCTCCAATCTGGGAGTTCATCCATAGCTCCGTGGCGGCTTTGATTAGCTCAAGACTATTATTTGCCATTCGGTTCTGAGCACAACGTGTGCCGAGAGCAGGGAGTCATTGGAATGACACAAAACTATGCACGGAGGATGAAACAAGATTTCAGACTCAGTCTGCAAACCCCAGCAGCAGCCTCAGCTAAAGGAGGAGTGGACTCACCCTGTGTCTTGTCCAAGTGAGTAACTGTGGTTTTCATGACCACAGAAAGGACGGAAGTGGGTTAACAGAGCCCAGCAGAAATCCCGCACCCGCTAAAAAGAAGCATATCTGTCTGATCCTGTAAACTTTCTCCAATTTCAGCCTAGGGCATCAAGCCTGGTCTGGGGACAGCCGTGTGCACCAGAGTTGAACACGTCTTCCGACACAAATATAAAATGAATCTGACACTTGCAGACACAGTCGCCCCTCCTTTCCACCCCTGAGAAATGTAGTTTGCTTTCCTTTCATGCTGTGTTGTTTGTTACATTCTCACCTGGCTGCAGGTGTCACCACCCAGCACATCAACCTCCAGGTGCCTCAAAAGAGCTAAAATCTCGTCTCCTGGTTAAGCATGCACGACTGCATACACAGAGACTCACGCACATGCATGCACACACGCGCACACACACACACACCTTGCACCCTCGAGGGTGCGGAGTCGATGGAAGAGCCTCTTCCAACCCGGGAGTCGGGCTGTATCTGGAAGACGTTCCTGGGCTGTGGGTCAGAGCACTCAGCAGGAAGGGAAGTCAGGCTTAAAACGGGCTTCATCGATGTGCTATGTCTTCTCTGAAAAAGAGTGAAGACAAAAAGCTTTATTCTAGCGGGAGCCCTCCGAGGCCCTGTGAGGCAAGGCTCGCAGTGGGGAAGGTCTGGAGAGACGCCCCGGGCAAAGGCGCTGATGGAGTGTGGGCTCTGCACGGGGGTGGTTGGGTTACAGAGGCTCCAGCACCAGCCACGGCGCCTTGTCTTCAGCAGCTGGTGCAGGAGCTGCAAAGGGCTCTTCCTAGAAGAGCTGCAAAGATGAGTGCAGAGGTGGCCTCGGGTCTCCCTCGCCACGCCT